CCAGGCGGATCTCGAACCCGCGGGCTCAGGCAATCCACTCACCTCAGCCTCCCAAGGCGCGGGATTACAGGCTGAGCCACCAAGCCCGGCTAAAGGGAGGAATTTTAAGCTTTGCAGCATACCTAGAGAACAAACATTCTAGAGTAGAAAAGGAGGATGGAGTCATAGGACAGAAGGAGAAAAAAAAATGATAGATTTCTGGAGAATTGGAGCATCTAGGAAATAACACTTAAAGGCATTTGACATAACTGCCAGATTATTTAGTGAAAAATAATGATAAAAAATCAAGCAAAGAAAAACCAAGGTAATTAACAACTCCAGGAAACAGAAAAAGTTGAGCAAAAAAGGAAATGTAATCATAGTACACTCTATGGCTCAGAACTAAGGAATATTTGCTTAGTTATTGTAATATAAATACTAGTTTTCAATTTAATCAAAACTGTGATATAACTACACTGGGGACATAAGATGAGAAGATGTCAGAATGGCAAGTAAGATTAAGTCTTAGCCAGTCTCGGTGGCTCAGCCTGTAATCCCAGCACTTTGGGAGGCTGAGGTGAGTGGATTGCCTGAGCCCGCGGGTTCAAGACCCACCTGGGCAACTTGGCGAGACCTCATCTCTACAATAAAATAAAAAAAATTACCCGAGCATGGTAGCGCACGCCTGTAATTCCAGTTACTTGGAAGACTGAGGAGGAAGGATCGCCAGAACCCAGCAGGCCAAGGCTGTGGTGGCCAGGAGCATGCCACTGCACTCCAGTTCGGGCAATGGAGTGAGAATCCAACTTAAAAAAAAAAAAAATTAAGTCTTAAGTCTTCATTTACCATAAGAGGAAGTCAAAAGATAATGTCTGAAACTGACATACCAAGAAGTAGCAATACAAATATACTATTTATTAACAGAAAGGTTAAGAGAAGAAGCAACTTTTTGGTTGAAAGTGGGATTTTTCTGGGCTGGGACTAGGCGTGGAGAAGGATAAAAGGGGTATGGGAAGAGTAGAAACTACTATTTCTAATTCTTTGACTTTTATTAAGCTGCACAATTATTACTTTGGTTAAAATTAAAATAATTTAAATTTTAATAATGCTCCTACCATTAAAAACTTCCCATTGGCTGGGCACAGTGGCTCAAGCCTATAATTCCAGCACTTTGGGAGGCCGAGGCAAGAGGACTGCCTGAGCCTATGGGTTGGAGATCAGCCTGGGCAACATGGTGAGACTTTGTCTCTCCAATAAATCAAAAAATTAGCTGAGTGTGGTAGCACGTGCCTATAGTTCCAGTTACATGGAAGGCTGAAACAGAAGGATCGCTTGAGCCCAGCAAGTTGAGGCTGCGGTGGCCGCGAGCATGCCACTGCCCTACAACCGGGGCGACAGAGTGAGACTCCAACTCAAAAACAAAAACAAAAACAAAACTTCCCACCAACTTAGAGGTAAAGAAGAAAAAAAAAAGGTTTATGAGAGACTATAAAGCACTTGCTTTTAGGCATCGCCTATGTCCCTCCTCTCCTCCTCTTTGCCCACACCTAACTGTTTAGATCTCCAGGGGTACTGTAATGTAGAGGAAGTCCTTGGGCCTCAAACACAGGCAATATGATACTGGGGTGATGCCCAGTTATGCAAAGAATCAGTTCTGAGACTTCTCTGTGACCTCACTGTGCCACAGGGTCTTCGTTTGTAAAATGGAAAATGCTAATATTTATTATGTTGCATGCAGTAATTGACGTAAAGTATCTAGAATATGGTAGGTTCTCAAAATTATGAACTTCTAACACACTGTAAGTCTTTCTGTAAGAGTCTCTTTGTGTGCTTCTATGTTTGTAGATTTAAGAAAGCAAAGAAGGCCGGGCTCGGTAGCTCAGCCTGTAATCCCGTGCTTTGGGAGGCTGAGGTGAGTAGATTACCTGAGCCCGCGGGTTCGAGACCTGCCCGGGCAACTTGGCGAGACCTCATCTCTATGATAAATAAAAAAAAAATCAGTCGGGCATGGTAGCGCGTGCCTGTAATTCCGGCTACTCAGAAGGTTGAGGCGGAAGGATCACTGGAGCCCAGCAGGTCGAGGCTGCGGTGGCCGGGAGT